GAGAGGAGAGAGGAGAGAGGAGAGAAAAGAGAGAGAGGAAGTACAGTAGGCTAAGGGATGTTTGATATGATGTAAGGTTATAGATTGTCTCTTCGGTGTCTTGTAATCTGTTGGCTAGACTAAATTCCATTACTATCTCTTGTATTGCTTTCAACTCCCCTCTGTGGTCTTCATTAAATGATTCATTCATATCTTCTTAAGGCCCTTGAACAGATTCATATTTGTTTTTTGTAATTTTTATCTTGTGGTTCAACTATATTATAATTCTCTGGCTGTACTGCAATAGGGTTACTACTACAATATGTTGCTACTACAATATGCTAAAAAGTCTACTACGATATGCTTCTAGTGGAACCATATTGTCTTGGCTGTTCATGCTGCAATTTTACACTGAGATTGAGGCGTCTAGAGTTATGATGTTTGAGATGTTTCTTAGAGTCAGTATCTGGTCTTCTCTTTGTTGGGTTGGTGTTCCAGTTTTTGGTTGATGCTGGCCTCTCTGGGTCCTAAACAAGTGGTATGGCAGTGGGATCCCTGAAAAGGAGTGCTTCTGTGGGTCAATGGGTGACATAAAGAGTGGTCTAGAAGGATGGACTCAGAGAGTTGATGTGAAAAGGATAAGCTGGATTTGCAACACAGGGTGCAGCTCCATGGGAATAGAGTGAAAGGTTGATTTTTAAGGAAGTAGTGTCAGGAGTTTTTGATGGAATAGATACATAGAATGATGAAATAAAAGACATAGGAAGTAGATATGGAAAAAAACAAGAGAAACCTTTCTTTCATGTTCTCATGAACTAGTGTAAGTCACTAATTTTAAGGACAGGACACCTAAGTCTTTTACCGTTGCCATTTATGTATGGAGCACACAATAATGCAGAGTCTAAGAGTATAGTGTCAGTGAGGCCCCAAGCCGTTAGGAAAGGGGTTTCTAAAAGAGACAACCTAAGAGTTGAGTCTTGGAGAATGAGTGTGCTCTCAAAGATTTTGAGAACTAGAAGGAGATACAAATTTTAAAAAGGAGTAAAACATGAATGAAAAATGGAAAGTAGGAATGAGATACGCAAGGAAGCTGTCAGAAAGATATTTAGTTGGAAAAAATGATTGTGGAAAATGGGCTAGATTGATAGTCTAGGGACAGTTAATTCATAAGAGGCTTTGCAATTGATGAAATATTTGTAGTGATAGGGTACACAGTGGGCAGCAAGCTAAGGGAACAATGAAAATAGTAAATCTAAGAGAGTTAACCCTATTTGATTAACATAATCTGAGCTGGAGTCTATGACACAGAAACTTGTGGCTAAAGGCAGGCCCACAAATCTCTATCTATACACAGCTATCCAAGATAGATGTCTGAACATTTTAAAAGTGGGAAACCTAGGAAGACACCTTTCAAAGATCTGCCATGTGCACACCTTTAATCTCAGTGCTCAGGAGGTAGCAGCAGGTGGGTCTCTGTGAGTTTAAGGTCAACCTGGTTTACAGAGCTAGTTCCAGGACAGCTAGGGCTACACAGAGAAACCCTCAGAGTGGGGGGGGGGCGGGGAGGAGATCACATAAGTATCCATGTGATCAGACAGTTTCTTTCAAATATCTATTTAAGTCCATGTGGTTTGTTTGTTATTAGTGTTTTGGAGTGTTTCATAGGAAAAAAGAGTCAATGCTTTTTATCAAATAATAATTATTAAGGTGTATTGTTTAGTTTTACTTATTGAACATTTAATACACACACACACACACACACACACACACACACACACACACACACACACACATATATATATATATATATATATATATATATATAAATTGTATTTATTTCTGGATTAATTACTATAGGCCATGTATTTGTATATGATATGTATGGGTGATTGTGGTTGTATGTGTGGTATGACACACATATGGAAATCAGAGTACAACTTTTAGAAGTGGGGTCTCTACTTCCACTGTCGGTTCAAGGATTAAATTCAGTTTGTCAGACTCCTGGAGCAAAAAAAAAAAAATAAAAAATAAAAATAAACAGTCTTGCCAGCCATATTATATTTGTTTGTAAAAAAATTGAATGAAGTAAGCAATATCATTCTTAATTTACTGAAGATGAAACTGAAACATTCAGAGAATTAGAAACCCTTACAAGCTTACTTAGCTAATAAGTAATAACTGGGGTTACTCACCATCTCAGAATAGAAGTTTCTAAGGATTTGGCAAGCCTGGAGGAGTTTCTTATCCTCCTGTAAAACTTTATTTTTTTAACCCAGTAGCTTTGGAATTAGACTTCAGTGCTCATTATTCTCAATAAGCTTGCAATGCAGTTTAATGTATATAAGAGTGTTTTCATAGACAGCCTCTGCAGTATCACTAGGAAAAGGGGAGTAATGCCCTCATGCTTCTGATGGGAATTCTCACTCAAATTTTGCTCTCTGACCATCTTTTAGGGATATTTGAAATCTACTGCCAAGCAGGCAGCCACCGAGAAGCAGGAATGCAGGCAATTTACAATGTTTCTCAGTGTTCTAGTCATCAAGACAGCCCACGCCAACACTACCAAGCTTCAAGAGTCTACTATATTATGGCAGAAGAGGTAGAGTGGGATTATTGCCCTGATAGAAGCTGGGAACTGGAATGGTATAACACGTCTGAGAAGGACAGGTAAGGCTTCAGAAAAGGAGTGATTACAGCTTACAAAATCATTTCATGGGCGAAGTTCCTAAAACTAAAAGTAGGAGGCATTTTTATAATTTCACTGAGCGTGATGCCAAAAGAACTGGGATCAGAATGGAGGGATCCTGAATTCCTGTACTTTGTTTCTTTTATATTCATTACCATTGAGCTGAAGAAAAGATGCTACATTCTTGCCCTCTTAGACTTGCTTCCCTTCTAATTAGCTAAAACTTACCTGCACTAGGTTTTAAAGTTCATACTGATTTATTCAATCAATGAACTGTCTCAAGGTCATTTATTAAGGTGTAGACTATGCTGTGAAACAGAAAAAATCCAAAACAGAGTAGTATAAATAAGATACAATATTATCTGTTATTTATATATGAACAATCCAGTTCTGGCAAATGAACTATACTGCCCTCAATTCCTACTTTCATATTTGGGATCAAGATGCTCATTTTAGTTATAGCTATTCCAAGCTTTCAAGTTAGGAAAGCAACATTGCCTGTAACAATAGACTCGAAAGTTGTATATATCATTTTTTTCTCAATGTCCTCTCTTTTCACATGAGTATATGTAGCTATAGGTAAACATGGACAATGGAAAATCTATGTCCCACATAACAGCCACATGTCCCAATAAAACCTAAGTGATTCCATTACTAAAAAGGGGGAGAAGAAAACACAAACTGAAGTATTATTAGTACTATTAAGGTGTTATTAAAACTATTGTTAAGTATTATTAATAGTAGCTTTCTCTAGTTTGTGGTACTTCGATTGTCTTTTGTCAATTCTTGACCTTTATAAGTTGGTTGTTTATGTTGAAGTCTTCATGTGAACTTTCTGTGGGAGCCTTGATTTCATCTATCGTGCATAGCTGAAACTACATTACTAGAGAAGAAGGAAGGGTAGGGACAACAGGCTTTATTCTGTGTCCTCTCTTCCCTTCTGCATGACAGTGTCTCTGTACATAATCCTGTCAACTCTGGATTAGTGATTGTACTTCTGAGACCCACCTATTGGAATGTTCACTATTAAAATGAATGATACACACTGTTAACTATTAAGTATCCTATAATGAGAAATCTGTAAGTTTCTATATCTTCCCATTTTTGATCTCCAATGGCAACTATTGATGCTCAGCTGAAACTTTGTGCCTTGTCCTTTTGTTAAAATAATTTCAAATCTAAATCTATTAAGGCTAGAATGAAAGTCACAGGTTTCTAGTTTTTAGGTAAGTTGGAAATATACTACAAATACCTATCTGGATGATGAAAATAATATACATAGGTTCAGAAACCTACTATTTTCAATTATGGTAATATAATTTGACCTGGTAATGAATAGATCTATATTCCCTTTCATATTGAACATGAGAATTGTTCTAACTTAATTTCTCCACATCTGAAAATGAAGGTTGAAGGTCAGATGCTAATAACAGTCTTTGAATTCTTCTAGCTATGGTCATGTTTTCCTGAGCAACCAAGATGGGCTCCTGGGTTCCAAATATAAGAAAGCTGTATTCAGGGAATACACTGATGGTACTTTCAGAACGCCTCAGCCAAGGTCTGGACCAGAGGAGCACTTGGGAATCCTGGGTAAGGGAATTCTACCTATATCCTGGCATCTAAAGATTGGGTTGATTCTAGGACATCTATGTCATATCAGGGAGGTTTTCCCATCCCTCATTCTCAGATTTTCCATGTGAAATATTAAAAGTATGGACCTATTTTATAAAATGGCCATGAATATAAATGCTGAAGGAAAAGAGGGAGATATGAATTCTGCTGTAACCTGGAACAAAAATGTTCCAATTTTCTATACCTTTGAGACTTGGCCCCTCTGAAGGTAGTAGATTTTGTGACTCTAGAGGCAGGAGAATTTAAGGACTCCAACAAGTAAAAACAAAATGATAAACAGAGCCACTATTATTCCCATACATCAATATAATCAAAGCCATATGGTGCTTTGATACAATGGGTTTCTTTATTTTTATCCTAGAACAGACAGGAACCACTTACCTCTTAAGAGATTACAGCTATTCTATGTGCTAAATATGGCAAGATTTCAGTCCTTACTATCAACTATTCTGCAAAATTCAGATTCTCTAGCGCCTTTGGTTATTATGTAGAGAAAAATAGGATGAGAAAAGTGGAGATAATAGGAAGCCTATTTCTGTTCTTGAAGTACCCTCACACAGAGGGTAGCAATACCAATTTTTAAGACTTCTGAATCTGAAAATGGTACTGGGCATGTTTTTTTAGTCTTGGGAAGATTAACTTCCATTTTATTCCCGTACTAATGAACCTTGTGCTTTTTTTGTATGTATTAGGTCCACTTATCAGAGGAGAGGTTGGTGATATCTTGACTGTGGTGTTCAAGAATAAGGCCAGTCGACCATATTCTATACATGCCCATGGAGTTCTAGAATCTAGTACTGGCTGGCCACAGGCTGCTGAGCCTGGTGAGTTGGACCACTTAGTAGATGGACAAAGGCTTTGTAGTCCTTCTACTTCTGGTTTATTCCTTTAAACACATTACATTCTTGGGCTGGGCAGGTAGCTTAATCAAAGGTAGAGGCAATTAACTGGTGAATTAGAGTTCTAGGAAGGTTTTCTTTTGTATTTTCAGTAGCTCCTGTAATAATCTGTCATGTACAAGATAATCTCCTTTTGTTCTTTTCCAAGTTACTTAAAGTGTAAATTAGGTTATTTATTTGTACTAATATGTAACTTTTTGATTACTATAAGGAAATACCAGAGATAATCTACTTTACAAATGAGAGGGGTTTATTTGGCTCACAGTAATATAAGTATAAAGTCTGAGAACCTCATTCAGCAATGACTTTGAATTTTGAGACAGTACAAACCATCACATGATGAGAAGAAAATGAATGTGTGTATGCTTGTCTAGTCTCCTCATAAAGCTTTTCCCAGTGTTCTACCCTAATAACTTCCCCAAGAATCACATCTCTAAATGCTAAAGCTGGATCAAATTTGTACCATTTTACTACTTTACAACAGGATGTAAATTTCAAACCTGGGGTGCTATGGGACATCAAACCATACCTGAACCATATCTTTATATCTTTCTCCCATTTAATGTTGATATCTATAGCTATAAATGTGTCATTTGTTAAATCTCATGAAGGTTATTTTTTTTTCATTGTAGGATATTCTTTAGTTGTCTTTATAATTTTTCTTTTTTAAATTTATTTTTCATTATTTTTTCAAATTCTTAAGGTTTTATATTATGTACAACACAATATTTTATAAATACAATGTCATGTAAGTATATACTGTTCATTGAGCATATTTCCCTGCCTATATCCCCTCACTCTTCTGTCTTATCCTTCCATTCATTTGTTCTTCAGGACAGTTTTACTTATACTTTTAGGTCATATATACACACATGATTTTTATGTATCTCAATAAAAGTCTAAGTATGATAAATGGATGAAAGTGTATGATATTTGTCTTTCTGACTTAATTCATACATTTTCCTGAAAAATTACACAACCTTGTCCCTCTTTATGACTGAAAAGGATTCCTTGTTTATATATGCCACATTTTATTTATCTGTCCTTCAGTTGGAAACAGGTTTGTTCTATAACATTGCTACTGAGAATAATGCTGTGATAAAACATTGATGCCTAAGGATACTTGTAGCATGTTGATTTGGAGTTGTTTCAGTAAATACTCAGGAGAAATTTTGTTGAAGAACCCCATACTGATTTCCATAGTGACCAGACTACATTTCTTTGCTACCAGAAGTGTGTAAGGGTTCCTTTTCTGTTTTCTTAATGACTGTTTTTTGAGACTGGGATGAGATGCAATCTCAAAGTAGTTATAATTTCTATTTCTTTGATTAGCAGTGAGTTTGAACAGTTTTTATATGATTATTAGCTATTTGTATTGCATGAGAACTGTTAACTAGTTTACTTATTAATTGAATTGTTCAATATCTTACAGTTTACTTTTCTAAATTCCTTTTTATATTCTAGATAGTAGTCTTGCCAACAGATTTTCTTCCATTCTATACTCTGTCTTTTCACTCATTTAAGTGCAAACTGTCAGTGCTTCTTAATTGTATGAGGTCTTATTTGCCATCTATTGGCATCATTTACTGAGCAAAGGTAATCTAATTTTGGAAAGTCCTTTCATATATATATGCCATGATATGTTTTCTACGCTATTCAGATTAACAATTTCACCAGTTCAGGGATAAGTCTTAGGTTAATTTGGGGTTGGTTTTAGAATGCAAGATGATAGGGATATAATTTCGTTCTTCTACATGCGGCTATCCAGTTCTATGAGCAACCTTTTTTTATTGAAGAGATTTCTTTAAAATGTATATTTTTGAAATTAATGTCAGGTATTTGGTGGTTATTGCTACATGGGCTTATGGCTGGGTTCTCTATTCTATGGATTTGTGTTTCTGCTTTATGCTAGCACCATGCTATTTTCTAGCTCTGCCTGTGCAGTTTAACATGGAACCAAGGATTATTCTTTGTGCTCAGGATTCCTTTGGCTATCTGAGGTATTTATCTTTAGTGCTTTGTGTGTGTGCTTCACATGAATTTTACGATTGTTTTTTAATTATGTGAAGAACACCATTGGAATTCTATGGAGTTCATATTGTATCTGTAGATTACCCTGAGTACTATAACCAGATGCACAGTATTAATTTTTCCATAGCCATGGAAGGTATTTTCATCTCATAGTATCTTCTTTAACTCTTTATTTAGTGTTATAAAATTTTTAACATAGAGGTTTTTCACTTCTTGATTTGATTTTTTGTTTTGTTTGAAAGAAAGTCTCACTATGTTGACATGGAACTTAACATGTAAACCAAGTTGGTTTCAAACTCATAGAAATGCATCTACTTCTGCTTTTCCAGTGATGGGAGGCAAGTATGGTGCCAGAGCATCAGAAACTTTATCTACAAGTGGGAGGCAGATATCTATCTCTGTCTCTGTCTCTGTCTCTGTCTCTGTCTCTGTCTCTGTCTCTGTCTCT